CACTAACTTGGTGACATATGGTCAAGCACAACCCTGCCAAGTATGCAGAAAAAACACACTCCAGAAGATTTTCTCCCTGAACAGAAGGAAGTTGCACATAAGGTGCTTTAGACTGGAGGTTTCTGTATCCCTTCAGGGATTAAAATCTAAAGAATAAAGAACTGCAGAGCTTCTTTGTGCACCTAGGAGCTGTATGTGAAAGAAACCTTGGGCTCAGAGGCCTGTGGCTGCACATCTGTGTGTGTGTCTTTCACAGCCTGTTCCCAGCTCCTTGGGCATGTCCACAATGTGTCCCCACATGGAACAGAGGCCCCGGTGATCTCTGTGGGCTCCAGGCAGGGATGGGGAAGGATTTGGACAGACCCAAGTTTATCATATTGGTGTGGGCTCCTGCAAGGCCTCACCAGCAGAAGTAGTGCTGGTGGTGGTTGCCATGTTGAGCTAAAGAACTCCTGGATCCAATGGCAGCCACTGTGAAGCAGCAGAAAGAGGTGGAGAAGAACAGAGGGAACAAGCAGGTGAACGTGACTACCTCTGTTTTTCAGTTATGTCTAAAGACTAAAACTAACTGGTATCTCAATCACTAGCATCTAAGAATATCAGTCCTTGTGTTCAGCTGTGCTGCCACATTGTAGAATGCCTCTAAGTGACACATTTCAGAAGTCTGAGGTTTTGAGAAGCCTTCAGAAATCCTGGGCTTTCTGGAGGCAGCAGAAGACACCAAGGGCCCCATCGCTTATCTTCCTCCTCTAATTAGCTCCTATGTCAGCATAGCTTCCTCTGTTTTTCAAATCCTCTCCACAATCCCAAGATCACTGGCAAGTTACAGCAGCATAGAAAGTGTGTTTGTCCCCTTAATTTATGTAAAACTGAGTGGTTGCTTCTCTGCAACATGATAAGGGAGCTAAAATGCTAGAGGTTAGAAACAAATTGAGGGCACCCCCTGACTTTTCCACTCTGCTGCACTAAGGAGCAGGAATCCATTACCCAGCACACCAAAAATATCTCACAGTCCCACACAGATTAATTTTAGGTTGGTCGGCTCATTGCTTTTACACCTTGTGTGCAGGTGTAAAACTTGATCTACAGCATTTAAATTTAAACAGCCTGTATTGCCATTTTCTGTAGTGGTACTGATAGGCACACAGGATTGTCAACAAATAGTCACATTACTTTTATATCCAATCCAAACACATCATCCTTTCTGACTTCCTCCCCTTAACCAGATCAAAAAACAACCTTTAAATTTATTTTTTCAAATGGCAGGCTGCTAATATTGTGTATGGATCTGATTTCTGTTTCAGACTCCAAAAGGGAATTCCTGAGATGCTGAACAGGAGGATGAATTTAAAAAAAAAAAAAAAAAAAAGATATAGGATGTGGTATGTGAAGTTGGCTGGAGGGCATTTATTTTATTTCATGGCAAATCTGGAGGTTTTGTTTAACTCTGGAATAAATATTGAAGACCTTTTGAATGCAAAAGCCAAGCTGAATGCAGCTAGTGGGGATATATTGTAACAAGAGGACATGTGCTAGCTGCCCATCTGAAAAAACAAACAAAAAAAGAAAAAAGAAAAAAACAAACAAAAAAAAAAAAAAAAAAAAAAAAAAAAACAGACAACTCTAATCCAGTAACTGCAATTTCTGTAATCCCAGACCTCAGCCTGAACCACACAGCTCCCTGACTGAACGAACAGCCCTTTGTAACTTTTTAGACACTTACGCACCAACGAGAAATCCCAAGATCTACAAGATAGATGCCTTGAATCCATGCTCTTCCCTTTTGGGAAAGGGGTTAATTGCAAGCCAACATTCAACTATAGCTCCAGGGTAATCTGACTAGCTGGGCCACAGCTGCAGATGGGGGCTAATGTGTGTTGGGTTTAAAAGCAAGAGTGTGGCTTTACATTTTACTAGATAACATGTGAAGGCTGTACTGTTTGGAGACTTTTTTTTTTTTTTTTTTTTTTTTTTCTTCTGAGTTGAAATCAGCATAAGACCTCAAAGAAGCCCGTATCACAGGTTAGGAAAAACAGTTCTATGTCTTCTGTGCTCTATCCTGCACTTACTCCTCCATACTTCAGCATGGAATGTTACAAGCAATGCAGAATATGCAAATCTCAGTCCTGTCATGATGGGTAAGGGTGTCAGTGAAGCAAAAGAATTTTTTTTCTTGTTTCATCCAGCTGTAAGGCAGATTGTGACTTCTTTGCAGGGAAAGTTGCAAGGCAGTGTCATCTGTAAACTGCCTGAAAAAATCTGCTGCTGCAAATCCCAGCTGCACCTCTGTTAATGTCTTCTTGCAGGACCTGGAAGTTCTACCGAAGCCTGTGGGAAGATCTCCTGGCTCTGAGTGTTACAAGATAAGGAGCATGCAGGTCTCTTCACACTGCTGTCACAGCAGCTTCCTGAAGTGCTATCTGAGTTAGTTTTCAACTAACTGATCTGGGATTTAGTAAGAGAGAGCAATTAAAGCAGAATGGAGTTCAGCAGAGTAAATGATCCCTCCCTACTGCTGTGACCTGATGTTACCCCTATCCAAGGTATTAAAAACCCAGCAACCCCCAGCACTCCTCCAGGACTTTGCAGACACCTGCAGTACATCTGTTGTTCAAGTTTAGGAATGCCTACAGTAACAGAGAGCTCTGGCTCCTAAACAGAAGCAAGCAGAGACACTTGCAGCAACCCTCCAGGTTGCTGTGCACAAAGGGCAGCAATGGATTTTATTTCCTGAGCTTTTCATCATCTTTTCCTTCCTATCCCTACTGCCATGCCTGCTAATGCCTATGCACATTAACCATGAAAACAGTGCCCATTTGTCTCCTTCTCCACTGTGCCTGAAGTATTTTTGGACTCTGGCCAACAGGAGTACCGATTCAACTGACACGGAGCATTGCATTGAGCATATATTCACAAGTGCGTGTTAATGAAATTACAAGCCCAAATGAAACTCTTCTCCCCTTCATAAATAGCTTCAACCCTGCAATCCTAAATCAGCAATCCAGTAAATTTGGGGAAAACAAAAGGCTTCCTTAATAGGAAGATGCAGCTTTCTTTCTTTTATTATTTTGTTTCTTCAACTGTGTGTGTGATGCTAAATGGCTTTAAACAGCCATTTAGCCACCCACAGAGAGAAACTAGGTTTACAGATTTTCTTGTTGCATAGTTTTGCTACGTGTACTCCCCAGAGTATTGGCATTTTGTTTGTTTTCCTGCTTAGAGAAATGGATGGATCCAATTTGCAACCCCAACAAAAATGAATACTTCCTCCCTCCCCCTGGTTTTACAGTCTGCTTTGATGGAGATAAAAAATAAAATAAAATCAATGAGAAACAGAAGATGCAATGTACAGAAGACAAAAACAAGAGGAGCCCTGTTATTGCAAGAGTAATCCTGGAAAGGAGGATGCCTTTCTTGTGAGTAGAGGAAAATAAATGAGAATGGCAAGAACAATCAAAGTGTAAGCAATGTGACCCTGAGGAAAGAACAGATGAGCTGAGGGTTTCAGCCTGAAGAACAGAAGATAAAGGGGTATATCATAACAGCCATTGTCCTTAAAGAAGCATTGAACCCTTGCCTAACCCACACTAGGCAGGACTGGAAATGATGGGTTTACACTGTAGCAAGGCAGATTTAAAGCAGAGATTAGGAGAAAAAGAACTGCAATAGCAAGGACAACAATCACAGAAGCCTGTGGACCACCTGGAGAGTAGAGACACCCTGAAGAAGGCAAAGAAGCCCCCAAAGCAGCAACTCTGGGCACAAATTCACTCATTTTTCAAACACGAGACTGATCCTGTGTTGGGTTGGGGGAAGCTCCTAACATTGTCTTCCTGCTTTGGTAGGGATTTCTTACTAAAAAGATCTGGTTTTTGTGACCCTGTGAGAAGAATACACCTGAGAGCCTGCCTGTGGTTGGTGGGTGCAGCTTCATTCTCCTTCACAGATGTCTTTGCATGTAACACCTTTTTTCTCTCCCTGTGCCCAGATACTTTCTGTCTCTGCTGTTCATCATCCGGAGTTAAAAATTCAAGGGTTGGTTTGATTATCTTATTACCATGGTGACCAGGATGACTTTCATGCCCATCTGCGCATGGCAAGATGCTACAAACCTTTACTTCAGTGCAAACCAAGAGAATTGTTATCTGCATTTTTCTCTTCATAACTTAGGGCCATCTTAATGCAGTAGCTGGAACTGCTGCACAATGCAGTTACCTGGTAAATACCAGGTTTTTAGGGAGCACCAGAGAGCTAGAATCTGCATGGAAATCTTTTGTTTACCAGATGGAGAGCCAGATTTCAGTTTGAATTGACATTTCCTAAAAGCCAAAGTGGTGCCAGTCCCAGGGGATGAATATATCCCTATCCTTAGGGTCCTGCAGAAGAGAATAGGTTGTCATGTAATGAAATATGTAAGCCCAAATAGGGCTAAGAGTTTTCTCTAAGTACAATAGAAAAAAAAAAAAAAAAAAAAAAGAAAAAAAAATGACAAAAATATTAAAGAAACAACCATCAGGATTGTTATAAGATCTGGGAGATGGATAGGATTTTGGAAACAGCCTCCAAGCAGTGCTTAGAGCAAAGGGTTTAGTATCTGGCTGTCTCCATTTCATTACTGTTAATGGAATCTCCTATGTCCAAATGAAAGACTAATTTAAGTCTTACTTAAATATGCCTTGAGTCATTTTAGTGCATTTAAGTCTTAATTAATCTTCCTTAACTCTTTTTGTCACTTCCTTTGAAAGGAAGATGAGTTTAATTAAAGGAACTGTCAACTTTATTTTAGTCTTAAGATATTTTTTTTGTCTTAACTTTGAAAGGTCTGGTCGTTATTGCAGTCTAAGATCTAGTAGATTAAATGTTCCTGTATCTTAAGGACAAGTCAGTCCACCACTTGGAATACTTTCATTGTGCTTAGCTACAACATTTGGACTGACTTCAAGGCTTTGTTATGATAAGAAATATTAAGGTTTTAATTAAAGCTGCGTGCAGAAAATGTCTTCCATTTAAAAACATTTTATTATTATTATTATTCCAGACCAAGCCCCAAGCTTTGTAGCACAGATACTTAATTCAGATGGATTTGACATGGGTAACATCATGTGTATTTCCTCCATATAATCAGGATAGGCCTGCTAGAGCTCATGTGTGTGGGGCACAAATAGGAGCACCTTCCTTTTCTGGAAGAACTGTACAACAGTAACTGAGCTTTATGCTGCTTGTGTCATACGCAGAATCATCTGTCTGTGGGAATGATTCAGCAGGTGACAATACCCAGCAGGTCAGCAATAATCCATCCACAAAAAGGGGTTCAGACCCTGAAGAGGAAGCACAGCACTGTGCTGCATCTGCCGCTACAGTTTTGATGCTGCGTGAGGAGACGAGGTCTGGAAATTCAGTCCTCCCAGCCTGTCACATGAGTAAACTGCTGAATGGCTGTATAGGCTGAAGTTGTGGTTTCACCAGTGCATTCTGCAAATTTGCTGGTTCTGCTGCAGTGTCTGCAGTCCCATCATGTCTCTTAGACCTGATAGGACAAAAGTGCAGTGCCATAGAGGATGGAACATGTTTTTTCATGGCCAAGTAACTGCCTGTCTGAGCAAGATGCTTCAAGAGAAGCAGCTGGAAAAAGAAAACTCCTTTTTACAGTAGCAGCTTGTTTCATCCAGCTGAGAGAAATTCAGCAGAGGAAAGGAACCAGGCAGGCTCAGGGAGAAAGTCGTGGAGATCTGTGTAAAAGTACGGGTGAAAGACATTGAATGTTACTGACCGCATGACTGGGAATTTCCTTCCACTGACTGCCTTCAAAGACTGGGAAGTCCCTGCACCTGCAGTCTTGTGTTCCTCAGGTCTCAATCCTGGAGGAAATCAAGGATAAGTCCCTGGCTCCATGGGGCTGCCCCTTCCCTGCTTGTAGGCTTATTTCTTCCTCCATCAGCTGGATACATTTGTCATTTCCAGCTTCAGCCAAACAAATTCCAATCCACTCTTGTTTACTTTTGATTGCTTTGTCCTTAATGTAGCATACAAGGATTTTATGTGCTTCTGTTTCATCAATGTAATTCTTTTGTTGCTATGGCAATCAGCTTCAATTTTCTTTCGTTCTGGCAATTGTATTTTTATAGTCTCCTGCTCTCAAAGAGATAAGATGCCTTGTATATCACACAGACACTAAGTATTGCCTCTATATAGACACAGCCAACCTTTGCTTTAAGACTTCCTTGCTGTTATTTGCAACAGTAGTTTACTGTTGCTGATGTCATTTTTATTCCTTTTTGTGGGCTCTGTTTCAAATAAGCCGTTTGCCCAAATTTACTCATCTGTGCTACTGCTGAGGAAATGCAGTAGCATAAGAGGTGCATTCCTGCTGGCAGTCGGTGACTATGGAGAGCACACGTTCAAACCCCAGGCTTGAAAAGAGAGGTGAACACAGTGGTTACAGCAGAGTAAGGATCACCCCAAATTCTCCTGCTTTTTTTTTTTTTTTTTTTTTTTTTTGATTATGCAGAAAATAATAGCAGAAAGATTAAGTATCAAAGAAAATCATTCTTCAAATTTACCAATGCATCTTACAATCACATTTTCCAAAATATCATAGGAGAAGTTTTGTGGGCACTCCATCACCTTGGGTCACAGAAACACTGCGTCGGAGGTTCAAGGCTACAGCTTGTGATGGGTAGCAGGATGTGAGAGTAGGAGGGTGGCTGGGCAAACCTTGCTGTGGGAAGAAGCCAGCCCCCAGGACAGACAAGTCCAGCTCTATGGGATGGTCCTGATGCCCCTCCACCGTGTTAGACAACCTGCCCTCATTGACTCTTGATGGCCAAGAAAACACCAGTAACCATAAGAGGCCCAAGATTTCCACAGTGTTGTGAAATATGCTCAGAGGCTTTGTGCAGGATCGCTTCATCTCTGTATAAACGTATACCAAGACCCACTTCCTATCCCGGAGAGAAAGGGGGAGAATCTAAGCATGAGGAGCTTTAATAGTATGCCTAGGTCACACAGAGAAAACATTGCAGGAATAGAAAATAATCTGAGATCTCTCAAGTGCCAACTGTCCCTAGTCAAATATACAAATGGCTAATCAGCACATTTTTTGCAACCTGCTGATGTGTTTGAAAATCTGTGCCTATTTTTTTCTCCCCTTAGAAAGCTAGTGCCATTCATTGTTAGGCTCTGGAAACGCTCCATACTAAAGTTATCAAGTCTGTCATCTCTTCAACGTGGTGCAACCAGCCTCCTCACTATCCTCTCCACCAGGCAGAGGGTGGAATAGGAGACAGAATTAAGAGAGTCATTCTGCCAATATGCTGAACTACGTATTGCATTTGTTAGGCCATATGGCTTTCTGATCATCCCTAATGAACATTAGGTAGTGCTTAAAACTGGATAACATATTAAGGAGCAGAATCTGAGAAATCACACCCACTTGTCTCTGCAGCTTCCCTGTGGCATGCTAAGGCTCTTCCCTGCTGACAGCCATAGCTTCTACACGCACGCAAACCACTGAAAAATTCATGGCATGACAAAGTGGACATAGGAATCAACATTGGCTGGATCGGTCCTGTTCCCAGCAATTTAGAGTGACAAGATTTTACTATTTGATAAGCTGCAGTCCTATTATGCAAGAAGATGTCCGTTCATTGGAGTGAAGTCCATTATAAATGACATGGAAGTATTTTTTTTTTCCCTACAAAAAACCTTGCAACCCAAATGCAGGGAATAAATCATGCAGTCCCTGGGGAGACGATTTGCCTCAAACAATCAGGCTTCCTAGGATCGCCAGTCAGAAGTGGTTAGCATATGAGTAGCACTGCTGTGTGCCTGCTCTAGAAGAATATTCCCAGTTGCTTTGGGAGAGAAGGGGCTGCACCAGATGGCAATTAATTAAAATGGAGCACTGAGAAGCTGATTGAAGATCTAATGAGTGATATTTTATTGATTTAACTTTTTTTTTTTTTTGGTAAATTATAATTATTATTATTTAATATGTTTTTGTACTTTTCAAAGAAGCTGCATTCTTCAACATCCTGTGAGGGAGGAGTTATAATCCACTTTCTCAGACAGGACCCAAAATAACTGCCATTAGTTTAGAGCCAAGAGAACTGGACACTTTCAGACTGAGAGTTTCAAACCCCACTCTAAAATAGGGACTTGAAACCCACTACTTCTAGATCCCAAGTGGATTTAAGCAGCAACTGCTCTGTTCCAAAACCAGGAACATGCTGTCTGTGCTGAGCATACAGACATGTTCACGGTCCCATTGCTGAGGGTGTCATTGCTGAATGCATCCCAAATGGAAATGGAGAATCAAAGCTCCCTGTCCATGAATGCATGTGATGTGGGAACACATCTCTCAATGACTACAGTTATTGCAAAAGGATGCTCATTCTCCTTTTCGGGAAATCCATATCCATAGCTAATCATTGTTAATTTTTTAGAATTGAGCAAATGAATGACCACCATTTCAGTGATGTCCATCTTCATTTCACTGATTTAATCACAAGTGGCTGAGCTTCCATCTGTTCAAGCTAGATAATGACAGAAGTCTGAGATATAAACTCCCTTCCTACTCCTCCCCCCCAAAATTATTCCTATAAGTGGCTCAGTGCTTCAAAAAAGGAAACATTTCCCTTCATTAGTATTTATTTTCAGATTAATACAAATTCATGAAAAAAATAAGTCTCACTACCTGTACAGCTTGTCTGCCTGCGTTGGGATGAAGCAGTAACTCATCATCCTGACTTTGCATGTAAATCTCAGTGCACATGGGATAACATTTATGCCTTAGTTCAGTCTAGCACCACCGTCTGAACCTGGTAGGAACTTTAATTATTATTTTTGAATCTCAATTTTAAGACTGATTTATTTATTTATTTATTTATTCCTTGATTCACTTCCCAACTAGGACGTGTCAGGTTTGGAACACTTTTTTTCCCTGACAGAGAAACAAAATTACTGATGAAGAAAAAGGTCATGTATTTATTTATTTATTTATGTATTTATTTTGGTGGAAAATTCAGAATTGTCAAAAATGTCTTGATATCTCCCATGCCAACTCTTTGACCTATACCATCTCCATCTTACAAAAAAAGAGAAGGCCAAATTTGAAGTTTCACTGCTACTGTGTGGTTATACTACCCAGGCCTTATTTCTGAGTGCAAACACCATCATTTCTGGTTTATGATTTACTGCCAGGCTGTTGAGGTTTTTGTTGTTGTTGTTGTGGTGGTGTTTTTTTTCTTAAGGTGTTTTAGGAGACTTTTGTAGTGATAATTACTCAATGTCATGTTAAGCTTTCATCCAATCACGTTTGTAATGTTTTAAGCCTGCTTTATCATCCCAGTTATTGCACTACATTGATCTGTGCAAACCAAGTACATTGCTTTAGTATTGCTGTCTTTCAATTCCCTGTAGAAATGCCTCACATTTTAAAACCATTTCCTATGGCCTCAGGGAAGTAATGGATTTATAATAGTCTGAGTACAAATGCACACAATCATTTAATAAGCGTATAACTATAAGCACAACTCATGCAGACTGTAGGTGTCAAAGCTACATCCTGAAGCATATGCTACCTGCAAGAGATAGAGGAAGAAGAGAATTACAACTACATACATCTCATGCAGCAAACAACAGCCTTTTCTCTGATGGTGAATTGTTGTCAGACTGATACAGGTCTTGCCTGTAGGTCTTTGCTAGATGAAACTGCCCCTCACCCATTTTTAAAGAAAGAAAAAAAAAAGAAAGAAAAAAAAAAACATCACCCACAGAACTGTACAGTGTCTATGTGTGCAACCTCAAGAGCCCCTGAATTGGGCTGCTGAGCTGAGACTGTGATATTGGGTCACTTTCTCTTCCGTATTGCAAATGACTCATCTGAAGCTCTCAACTCTCCCTGCTTGCTGCCTCAGCTGTCTGCATCCCTTCCAAAAACCTCTCTGTATTTACCAGAGTCATCTACATGAGGAGGCAAGTCAATGAAAACAGCTAAGGGTACTACAGGGCACCTTAGCATCAGTTCTGGTGATGCTCTGCTCACCTCATTGACTATTAAAAGTAGCTCAGCACCTTACTGAGCTCCAGTCTGCCAAAGCATCTCTGTCCTGAATTTGTTGTGGTACCAAAAAACACATGTCAGTAGTCAACAAGGGAATCCACTGGAAACAGCAAGCAGATCCATCATTCAAGAAGGAAAAAATCTTTTTCCTACAGTGGCTAAGAGACATATTTAACAGAGGTTCAGGTCCATTACAGGATGATCAGGAGGGCATGTCAGAGGGGAAAAGAAAGGAAATCAGAGAGCGAACTACAAATCTATATATGGCACCAAGGAATCTGGCGGCTGAAGGTAGGGAGAGATAACTCTCAGACATGCTGAGCAGCAGATGTTTAGATGTGTTTTAGTTTATGCTAGTGTGGAAATCTCACTCAAGCATTTAGGTCTGGCTGAAATGTTTGAGTCAAAGGAGCTCCTTCCAGATTACTTCTGCACAGAGCCAGAAAAACATACAACTTCAGCTGATCTCAGAGAGGGTCTTCGCCTGTGAAAATAGCAGCAATGGAGTTATGCTACAGTGATTTCACTACTTCTGGCCTTGCCCAAATTTAATCTGAATGTTAGCAACTCTGTGAATTTAGGGGAAAAAAAAAAAAAAGACTGGATGGAAAAGGCACTAACATTCTTTGAGAAAGATAGTCTCATGCCATGAGGAAAAAAAAAAAAAAGAGAGAGAGAGAAATCTGAGAAGTTTTAGCTAGCACACATGCACAACAGAATGCCAGCAAGTTCTGATCAACAGGTTGTAACTTCCAGAAGAAAATGTGGGCGGGCAGTCAATTGTCAAAACATCCCATGGTGGAAAAAATTATAAACATGATTTTTTACTTTAAAAATGGTATTTTTTCTTTTCACAGTTTTCTTGATTTCTTCAACCATTTTTTTAAAAAACTTTTTCCAAGTAGAATAGGCAAATCTCCAAACTGAATGTTTCTTCATTTAAATTTCCCTAGAGCAAAGGAATCATGAAACTCTTTCTTGACAAAAAATCCAGCTCCTTCAGTGATATCTTTTTTTTTCTTTTTTTTTTTTTGCATGTCTTGGTTTGTGATCCAACTGGAATATGTTAAGAAGTAATAGCAATAAACTTCAAGGATTAGCTCTAAGTTGGCAGTGATGCATTATGTTCCTTGGTTAATTCATTCATAACATCAATATGTCTGAAACAAGAACAGAGAGAAACATAATTACTTATGGCAATATTTGGTTGAAGTGAGACTCATTTGTGCTGTACAGATTTTTTGCCCTTTCTCTTGCAGTAGAACTTACATTGTGATGGAAGGAATAAAGAAGGAAGAAAGTGAAAGAGGGAAGAAAAGGGTTTTTGATATATTCTGATTGAAATGTTTTCCAGAGAAAAGTAGTCAAGATGCTTTTAAGTAATTCTTGAAAGAGCGGCAGCTGTATCGGATATCCTCCCTCTCAGAAGTGACCAAGATTCGTTGTTGTTGTTTTTTTCTCCATCTCCTGCTGAATTAGAATATTCCCCGTACTTGCTTTAGCCATCCAAGCTTCTGCCAACATTGCCTAGGCTTACATTAAAATTTAGGGGAGGAAGTGTTGCTCTGCTCCCTGAGGATTTGATGGAAATTTTGTTTTTGAATCAAACACTCTTGGCAAAAAGCTTCAGATTATTTTCTAGCTTCATCATTAAAAGCTTTGTGATTCTTCCACTGTAAACTGATTTTTACCCAGAAGTAGCACTTCCTCCTTTGATGATGCACTGACATAAGAACACTTTATCAAAGCAGTTAGGCAATGATGTGTTCCTGCGTGGGGTAATGATAGCACAAGGGTTACTTTTTAAATGGAAAAGATTGAAGGGCAAGGGATCAGTCACAGCTGAAGTTCAGTGAATACAAGGAAGCATCCATCCTGGTTTTCTTTCCTGCATTTACCACTTGCCTTGGAAAAGGAGGAAAATAGAGAGATTTTCTTTAGGGGTCAGGTTTCCATCAAAGGAAATGGAGCTGCAAAGCAGGCCCAGGTGCAGTGATGTTTTTCACTACTGCCTTCAGTGCGTTTTCCCCCACACTAAAACAAAATGTAAGTCTCTGCTTTGGTGCTCTTCTGGACTGACGTTTGACCAAACATTAATGCCCTGTCCCGACAGCCCTATCAACCAGCAAAGCATGTCTTGCTTTGCTTTCACATTTCTGTGCTTATTTCACCATTTAGCTGCTGCTTTCCTCACAAAAATGACAAGGTTGAGTATTTCCGTACATACAAATGTCTCCTAGACTGCACAGAGTAGTGAACGTACTGCTAATGGAGAAATTGCAGATATACTCACGGTGCTGATCCCCGTGTTTGGCATCACAGGCTGTGACGGACAGCTGGACCCTGTCTCCTGTGAGCAGCACCTGCCATGGGGCAGCTGAGCTTGGGTTGCAGCCATGGTCATCATGGGGAAGCTTTGTGCTGAGGGCTAGCTGGGGCCTCCTGAAGCTTTCTGGATTTGAAAGGCGCATGAGCACTTGGTGCATACCACAAAATGTCTCCCTGGCACCCACCCCTTTCATCTTGCTCCACATCAGTTAGCAGCTGGAAGGAGAAGATGGAGATTTTGTCATGGCAGCCAAAGCAGAGGGGGGATTCTGAGCAGCCAGACGGGGAGATGTTATCTGTACGAGCACTGTGCTTCCTCATCCCTTAGCACTTATTTGCAGCTCCCTGGTATCCAATAATTATTGTCTTGGAGCCTTTCCAAGAGTACTTTGCTGTGTGTGAAATTCAGCTAGACACATTCTGGATGGCACAGTCTCCCGGCTGGATGAATATCACTTGTCACATCAGGTCTCTGGCAGAAATTCTGAACTCCGAATTATTGTTTCTAACAACTCCTCTGAAACTTTGGCTTGAGATCTGCCATTCTACCCAACTTTCCTGCAGGGCAGTCCATTTGCAAGAAAATGGAAGAGAGGGAATTCAGAAAGGATGCAAGAAAAGTATGCTAACCTAGGCCTGGATTTCAAAAAAAGCACTTAAGCATTGGCCTAGAGTTTTCAGTAGGATTTAAATGAGACTTCTATGTTGTCCTGAGTAAGAACCATCAAAAAATTGTTCTTAAAACCTTTACAGTAGCATTTCTACTGCTCTCATTGCTCTTCATAAGTGCCAGAAAAAGAAAGGAGCGGTGAGGGAGAGGGAACACTGGGACATGGAATTTTATAGAGAAAATATAAATAAGTTATATTGTCCTGTGCAATTAAAAAACGTTATTGCTAAATAATAAATAAATACTAAATAATACATTATTTTTTTTAAAAGGTTAACAGCTGATTTCTGTAGGGAAGCCATGAATTAAACATCATGCAAAACAATTAAACTCTGGGAAATAGGATTTCTGATATAGTGGTCAACAATTAAAAATGAATGTGCTGCTTCACTCCAGGGAAAAGCAGTAAGATGTCATGCTTTCATGCCATGGGGAACAAACGTACCATGTGTCTCCAGCTGGAAAGTTCTGCAAAATAGAAAGAAAATACACAATGAGTGGCAGAGACTTAATCTGAGACACTTCTACACAAAAGGTGCAGGCTGCAGTCATTATTTCTGAAGGAGAGACACCACTGAGAGACACTCACTCCTCCCAGCAGCAACCTTCTAAATTCTCTACCTGCACTTGCAAATGCAATTCTTAACAGCATGGGCATCTTTACGAGCAAATCCTGATTCAGGTCCACCAATTGTGACAGGTTTGTTGAGAAATTGCTTGCTGTAAGTGTAACCAAACCACAGCCTCCTTTCATAGACAACATCTATGGCCAGAAGACTGCAGTAACAGCCCAGGAGAAGGTTTAGCCAAACACATATAAGAATTCATGTGTTTCTTTGCAGCTGTCTCTGAGCAACAGAGTATGAACACAGTATGAAAAGCTGCTCTAATGTAACCTTGCAGCTTCTGAATGGAAGCCTATAACTATCCCCTTTACTTTTTATTCTATTACACCTCCCCAGAAAGATGTTGCTTGGGCATCATACATATTAAAGAAATTAAAGAAATAAAATGCTATCGTTTAAGCTAAAGCTAAATATCTTCTGATACGATCATTAATACTTTCTTAAATTCATTTCTGCTGGAAGCACCCTGGAGAGAGTTCACTTGGTGCCAACAACCCACCTGAACATGTTGTCCACTGCCTGTACCCGAGCTGTGTGAAGAGACAGAATCTATTACCAGTTGCCTCCCCATTCCCATTGCTTGGGGAATAGTGTGAATTGTTTATCATGGCCACTGTGCATTTGAACAGATGGTAAATATCTGAGTTCCTGCCAACAAGAGTTAAGAGAAGCCACTAAAATCCATTTAGAACCGGAAGCGAAGTAAAATAAAAAATACCTAGCTGAGAATTTACCCAGGTCTGTTGCAGGTGAAGTCTGTTGGCTAATGGGTAGTTTCAAAGTGCTTGTACGGAATGGTTCATTAGAAAACTTGTCTCTGCCTCCCGTGCTGATAGGAAGAACCCCAGACGGGTACTTCTTTTCAGTGATAAACAGGTTCTAGTTATAATCTGAAAGAAATCTGAGATGTTGTAGGGGCAAGTTGAAAAGAGACACTGCATTTTCTATCTATTTTATATCAGCAATGCAAGCTATTATGGAAATTATTTTAGACTTGGCAGAGCTTTCCAGAGAGAAGCAATCAAGACATAAAAGCTCACAATGGTTTGGCTCGCACAGCCATTTCTTTCAGCTCAGGCAATCTCATTTCTTTTCCCTCTCTACACTGTAGGGCTTCATGGTTATCAAATACAAACCAGTGACTGAAAAGTGGGTCATCGCTTTGCAACACATCTATTGGAGATGCCAAGAAACTTTTCCAGGATCTTTCACATAGCCGTTGCTTGTGGCTTGATTACAGTGAGTCACAGGCTTGTACAGAGCTGGTGCCCCTGAGACGGTAAACTACGAGGCAATGTGAATGGTATATTCAAACATATTTGTTCTCTGTAGGATAATCTGAAACACTTTAGCTCTTTTTTCCCTCCAGTCCTTGGCTGTTACATTGTTTTCACCTAGCTGGTTGGAAGATGGCTATGGGGAACGCGCCCCTTCTTTTTCTGTCATGGTATAGTGCTCATATTTATTTCCCTAGACAGCAACATAGGGTTGGCGTATGCAACCTCACATCAGTGACCAATTCTTTTCCCTGTGGCTTTGTCACACCGCTTCCATCTACAACCTTACTTCTTGAACTGCTTTCTGGCCTCAAGTCCCCATATATGAGTGATATGATGCCACTTGAAGCCATCTACTACCCCTAGCTAAGAAAACACTGCTCCTCTCTCCATTTATTATTTTTCACTTGGTTAATCCAGAACTCCAAAGATTATTTCAAAGACTGGATTTGGAAAGCAATATCTTCTGCTCTGGTGTGAACATTATACCCCTTAGGTACCCATGGACAAAAGACTAATGAAACACCCAGGACTGAACATTCTCCAAGAGCTGGACTGAAATTCTCCTAAGTTATGGAAAAGAAAAAACAACACTGAAGTTACATTATACTACTAAATCCCCCAATTATTTTTTCTTAACCCATATTTCATCAGGATATTGATTGTTGATACAGACAAAGTTGTTATGGCTATTTAATCCAAATGAGAAAAACATCAGTAAAACTTCCTTGTTGAATTTACAGAGAAAGTTTACATCTACAGGACTACTCCATGTTGAACAAAGGAACCTACATACAAAAGACTGGAGACAAATGAAAGAAAAAGAAAAAAGAAAAAAAAAAAAGACTTTGTGAAAGGAACCATCTCTCTGACCTGATGTTCTGTGTCCCTCAAATGCAGTTAAATATTTGGACAACATCAGTTTAAGCTGGAGTATGGGTCTGGTAGGGACAATCTGAAACCTGGAGGTTCTGCACTACTTCTGTCTCCATTAAAGAGCAGATGGATTTCACTACATCCTGGCAATCACAAAGACAGCATTACAGAACCAGTATTTTTTTGTCAGTGAATAATTTGCCACAAGGTGGCTATGATGTAGAAATCACTCTTGTATGTTCTCATCCTTGGATAAATATGCAGCAACTTGTCCATAGGCCCAAATCCTCTAACAAGGCTCAGGCAGGTTCTAAATTCTTATTCCAACCTTCAATATTCCATTTACTAACACAGGCCGTATTTCTTGACTCATTACATTGCAGAAAAGATAGTTGTCAGTCCGGTGGAAAAACGGTTGAGTGGATTTTGAGCCTGGACTGGTAGATTTTCATGCCAATTTTTAGGACTAGATTTACCATCTTGACAGGGAGTAGGCGTAACATTTCTGTCTAGTCATTCAGTATCCTGTTTTCTCCTGAATTGAATCTAGCATCTTGCATACTCATTCTGTGACTAACTATGAGAGTTTGGCCGATTTTTCTATCCATTGTCCAATTCTTAATTCATACTTCTTTACTGTATAGTCTAGATACACCTATTATTACTCTAAGAAGAACTTAAGTGTGGGACAGGCACTGGGGTCATTAGTATTTTCAATGTAAGCCTAAGGGGGCTGGGGAAAATAAGCCTCGCATGAGGACAAAACTTGGGCCAACAGTCCATTGTAGACAAACAGAACTTCCTGGAAGTGAATTTAAGCAGCCCACTCTCAAAGCTGTGGTTTAAACAAGCTGCACCAGACCAGTCCACCCCCAGAACAATTTCCTTTATAGTTTTCTTTCAAAACAGGAAGTGCTTCTGCCATTTAAATGAGATCAGAAAACTGCTATCATAGTGTCGAGGAATTTACGATGGGATTCTCTGCTCTGAAATGTACAGTCTATGTACTAAGTTTGTACAGCATAGAGAGATATGATGCAGCTCAGATGTGTGTATGGAGGTCAAGATTTCCAGTAAACCTTGCAAAAATTCAAAAGAAAGGTGACACAACCAAGTAACACTTGGCAGGAAACAAAGTACATGTGGTCTTCATGTTTGTTTTATTTATTTATTTTTTTTTCCTTTAATGTAGGCATTTGGAATCGTATCAAAATGGGTTCTGTAAACAGCACTTCTCCCGGCATGTGTGCTTGGTGCCTCTCACCAGATGAGGTGTGCTTTTCCCTGTGGCACATCTGCCAGTGCTCCCTTCAGAGCCATTTCCAAACACAACTAACATCCCCTTCCCTACATAGCAGGAATGGGATGAAACAAAAGGATACTTGAGCTCTTCTATGCAGCCAGCCAAAATCTCAGAGGAGCCCAACATTATAATAATGTTTAAATCTCACAGAAAAAAAAATCTACAATCTTTTCAAGCTTTTATCCTTTTATCCCGAGTACTGGTGCTTAGAGTCACAGAATTTCTTACACTGACACCTACCAGCAAGGCCAAAAAGCTTTTTTTGGTCAATCTAGTTTTTAGATGAGATGGTCCAAAAACAATTCAGTTTTTATTGTGCCAAAATTCAGCCTCTCAAAACAATCAGAGCTTTGTTGTGAGAGAGAGTGACTTAATCACTGGAAAGAATGATGCTTCTCAATGTATCATATTTGCAGAAATGTTTATCAATTTTGAATCAGCATAGTCTTGGTAATGGGAATCCCATATACACTCTAGATCATGTTCAAGTTTGTAGAAATTAAAAAACAAACAAACAAACACCTCCCCTGGGTTCACTGTAGCTCAACAACATATACAAAGATGTTCAGGAGACCATTGTTGTCCTCAGTGTTTAGGCAGAGAAATCAGAAAATCATTTATCCTTTTGTTAAGTTTACATTATTTTCTGGTCACAGAGACAGGAGCTCTAACTCTTGAGTGCTTGAAGTCAAGGAAATAAGTTCTAACTTTAGAGTTTGATCTACCCTTGTGGTGTTACAGTAGGAAATCAATGTAGCAGCAAGGGTTTAAAATTGAAGAACTGGTGTCATCAGCTGAGCCTACTGACACAGTTGTTATAAACGAGGAATTAGGTATAACACCTGGCTTGACCAGAACAGCCCTTCACCTGGTTGTCTACATACACACCACAGCTGCTATATCTTCCCCCTCCTCACTCATGCTCATAAGCACTGCAGGCATCTCAAATGTTCAATCTGCATGTCAGTTTGTGAACATTTCACCTCACAACTCCAATTAATGCCAATAATGCTAATAGAAAATACCTAATTCTCTGAGGATGAATATCTGATGCCCAAGTCTGTAAGACTATGCTTTCAAAGGCAAGATGTCCATATGTTGATTTTAGCTCTAAATGTCATAATTACACAGCTCCACGCAAATTCCAAACCATTTGCTTATTATGGTCAGATTTATCATCTTTGGTTACATTCTCCCATTGCTAGGGCACCTTTGCAATCAAAAGATAGGAATCTCTTATTTGCAGGTCTTTTCTTCCCAGTATTTTAAAAAGAACCACTGGTAGCTCATTGCTTAACTTAGCTGTCTAGACAGCTTTATGCTCTCATTTTCTCCTGCCTGAAAAATATATAAATATATATTTTCCTAACTTAGATAAGTAAGTTCGTATATAGGTTAATGTGAATGTTTCTCTAGATATGAATGTTGTGTGAACCTATTTACATTTATCTGTCTGTCTCAACTATATATAAGAGAGGGCAGGAGCTTTGAGAATAAATAGAAAATTAATACAAGTGTCTAAAAAAGGAGATTGAATGAGAAAGAGTTATTTTCTCCTACATCCAACAGTTCTATGAGTGTTTCTTAGCCCTTGTACAGAGAACTCTCAGATATTCCTTACAGAGGCTCCACCTGCATTTATAGCCAAGAAACAGTGAACCTGCTTCTCCGGATGACTGTGTGTAATGGATTTTTAGCAGCACTATAAATACGTCCGTATGAGTTCCTAGTCTGCAACCTGGGTTCATTTGGAGCCCTGTCCTGTCTGCTTCTCTTTTGGTATACGACTGTGACGGACTTCTGCAAGAGCTCTGGTTTGTGCCAGATTAAACACAGACTGGATCTGTAGCAGCCTCATGCAAAGGTTGTGCCCATGAGGTGCCTGAGAGCACATGCCTAAAAGCAGTCCTGCAGTTTCATGCACAGCTATTGCTGTGGACTGAAGTTCCATCCTAAAGAGCCATGGAGTAAAGCACTGAAATAACCTTCCAGATGCCTGAAGGGCAGCACCTCACCCACCAGAGGTATTTCCCCTGCTCTGGTCTTTGGCCCTATTCATTCTGGCTTTCCAGACTTCTGTCTGGTAACCATGGATTGTGTTGCAAATAGTTGGGCCAACAAGTTAAAAGTCCATTACTGAGAACAGCCCATGGACGCTACTGTTTATCAAATATAGGAATAAAAGTAAGATGAAAAGTCTCTATATAATTAGAAATGCAGGGCATGAACATCAATTTTATATATAAATACATATCTATTCCTAAGTGTTGAAGTAATTAAAGGTGCTTTCCATCACCCTGCCCATTCTCTCAAGTCTCTTGAATGTGCACGTATTCTCAGAGTTCTGATTAATGCAGCTTTGATAAAATACTTAAGAATCTTTAAATAAAATGGCTTTTCCTAAGTGCCTTGCAACACTTTCTGACAGGGACATAAACAAGCAAAGCAAAGAGGTGATGGAGTAGGAAACACTGGTCACAATGTCAGCCCTCTCTCCTCCTCTTTCTGCACTCCCTACAGATTTTAAAGGTCAGGAAAATGTAGAACAATGCCCGTGTCCTAAGAAGAATAAGAAAGGAAGGTTAAAAAAGTTTTCTTACCAATGAACTTGAGGAATTTTGTTCCTTTTGCTTCACAGAGCACTGAGCTGTCTGGGTTACGTGAGACTGAGTACTTTACGGTTAACATTTGCTGTGATTGGTTGAGCCACTGTATAAAATGGAAAGAAAAGTTCACCTTTAAAATATGTATTTTTAGCAACTGACCCATATGGTACAAAATGCTGTCCAAAACGTATTTTTGTTGCAAGAGGCTTTAAAGAAAAGATAAGGTTTTATTTGTTAAAAAAAATTCACTTCAAATGATGGCAACGTTTCCCAAGTGCTGGGCAACACCACTCTTCTTACCTCCTGGTAGGAGGAAACCTTAAAATCAGAGAAACGCTTTTTCCTCCTCCCTTATCCCTATACACATTTTCTCTACATTTTATCACTTATTCCTATTTCTCAGTTCTTCACAAAATAAATCTTCTGGCACCTCAAACGTATACATTTTAAAGAAAGCTATTGTTTAAGAAATAAAATAAAATCATCAGCCGGATGACATTGACCATAAAGGTTCTGTATCCACAAATCTGAAAACAGATAAAACTATTGAACAATGGACTTTCTTTATGCATCTTTACAACAGCAGAGACAATGAGGATCTGAACAGATTTGGGGTTGTACTTTAATCGTAAATAAAGTAACACCAATAAATATTGAAGATGTACCGGTCACAGTAAACATGTTTGCTTATACTGCTTGGGCACAAACCAGTGGGCCCATGTTGCATACCCCAGTGAGCTGAAGTGACAGAAAGTCCCAAGAGTGGCACGTACGCAGGAGTTGACAACAACCTCCCAGGGTTTTAGTGATGGAGTGCTGCTCACCCACTGTATACCTTAGGGTCCCGTAACCTAATGGCAACCCCCATAGGCCCTGGTGCCTACCCTTCTTCAGCAGGGTGCCTGGTAGCACTGTCACAGCACAGAAACACAAAGCCAGAAGGCACTTTAAAAGGGTTGCAGTGACCATGGCTAGGGGAGGACAGACCAGCCATCCTTGAGAGATGTTCATCCAGCTGTTCCTGGAGCCTCCCCAAACAATCCTACCACTTCCCTTCGAACCTCAATGACAGGGAAAACTGATTACCGCCGCGCTCCTCGCAGCAGCTTCACATCACACCTCTCTGTTGTGGAAGCTGTGCTAAAACTGTTCCGAAGCTGTGTGTTGCTTAAGAGACGCGTTTTGGCTGCCCCTGTTCTAGCATTTATATCTCTGTTACCCAGCAGGTGTAGTGTACTCAGGCCCGCATCAGTTCTCTGTTTTGCCTTCCTACCAAGCTATCAGCCCCAAACTGCAGCTGCACTACCTGTTTGGACTGAAATTAATCCAAATCTTCTGTGCGTCAGTGTGGGGGCAGAATTGCCTTTGCTCAGCAGGCTGCAAATGCACTCTTCAGTCATTCAAAGCTCTGCCTACAGCCAGCTCTAATTTTACTCTATTTTGTTTATGCTGGAGTGGCTGGGCTGGTATTTTTTCCTTCCCTCCACTTAATCTACCTTTGTCTTTCTAATAACATCTTCTAATAATATCTTCCATCCTGATTTATTTATAGCAACTGCCCTTTTGTTCAGGTATTACTACTGAAAGTGGTCTAAAATTGAGCCCAATTACTGTGGAGGTGCCAGGGGTAAGTCACTTATTTGTAGGCTAAGTTTTAGGTTTGAAATACTATTGAGATAGATGGATTTTCTGTGTTGTTCCTGCTCCTAGTCACACTGCAGTCTGGATGGCAAGGGAATGCAGTGAGGGGAGCAGCGTGGGTGTGCGCCAGCATTTCTTTCTGAAAACTTATGATCTCAGAGGAACAGTGACTGATAGATTATCTTTATTTGCCTGGCAGGTGGTACTTAGCATAGGGAAGTTGCATTGGGCAAGCTTGGTCCTTTCACGCTCCAATTGAAGGAAATAAATGGTCAACAAAAAGCACAGAGAGAAATCCATTCCAAAGATGCTCTAACAAGCCGTATCAGTTTGCAAACACTACTTGCTTATTTCTCTCCTCTTGAAACAACAAATCTCCTTGTAAGATGTTACTGTGATGTGACAGAACAAAGAGGAGCCTGGCACACTGGCAAATGGCATCACTGGCAAAACCCAACGACACAGGGTGGCAAGCAATGTGATGAGAGCTGTGGGTATTCAGTATGTCCCCGTGCTGTGCCACCAACACTGAAGATGGAAGCAAGGAGGAGTTGTATCCTATGGGGGGCTGAAGGAACCCCCCTGTGCCTACAGCTCTACCCAGGAAAGCCGTATCTCAGGTAGGAGTGGAAACTTCATGTTGGTCTCACATCCAGGCTAGAAGCTAGCTTCTCCTTCTCCTGACATTGTGCTCCACATTTACCTTAGAGGCATAAAAGACAGAGCATGAGGAACCTCGTGAGGCCTGTAATTTCTCCTGTCTCAAACACAAACTCTAATGAAACTGAATTTAAACATTTGCTTAGCCAGATCTTGAGAAACCTCCAGAGGTGCATTTTCAACACCCTTTCCATGCTTTCAGCCTATCAGTCTATTTCTATCCATCCTTCCCATTGGAATGTTTTTATTTTATTTTGTTTCATTTTCCCTCTCTAATACATAACTACTATTGCTTTACATTACTGGATGTTGTTAGCTACAAAGTCAGCTCCTGGTCCTTACTTATGAAGCAAATTCAGCAGCAAAACCATGTGAAGAAGTCACAGAATCACAGAATCACAGAATTTCTAGGTTGGAAGAGACCTCAAGATCATCGAGTCCAACCTCTAACCTAACACTAACAGTCCCCACTAAACCATATCCCTAAGCTCTACATCTAAACGTCTTTTGAAGACTTCCAGGGATGGTGACTCCACCACCTCCCTGGGCAGCCCGTTCCAGTGCCTAACAACCCTTTCAGTAAAGAAATTCTTCCTAACATCTAACCTAAAACTCCCCTGGCGTAACTTTAGCCCATTCCCCCTCGTCCTGTCACCAGGCACATGGGAGAACAGGCCAACCCCCACCTCGCTACAGCCTCCTTTAATGTACTTATACAGAGCAATAAGGTCACCCCTGAGCCTCCTCTTCTCTAGGCTGAACAAGCCCAGCTCCTTCAGCCGCTCCTCGTAGGACTTGTTCTCCAGGCCCCTCACCAGCTTCGTCGCCCTTCTCTGGACCCGCTCAAGCACCTCGATGTCCTTCTTGTAGCGAGGGGCCCAAAACTGAACACAGTACTCGAGGTGCGGCCTCATCAGAGCCGAGTACAGGGGGACGATCACCTCCCTAGCCCTGCTGGTCACAGTGTTTCTGATACAAGCCAGGATGCCGTTGGCCTTCTTGGCCACCTGAGCACACTGCTGGCTCATATTCAGCCGACTGTCCACCATCACTCCCAGGTCCTTCTCTGCCTGGCAGCTCTCCAACCATCCCTCTCCCAGCCTGTAGTTCTGCTTGGGGTTATTGCGCCCCAGGTGCAGGACCCGGCACTTGGCCTTGTTGAACTTCATACAGTTGACCTCAGCCCATCGGTGCAGCCTATCCAGATCCTCCTGCAGAGCCTTCCTACCCTCGAGCAGATCGACACACGCACCTAGCTTGGTGTCATCTGCAAACTTACTGAGGGTGCACTCAATGCCGTCATCCAGATCATTGATGAAGATGTTAAAGAGGACCGGCCCCAGCACCGAGCCCTGGGGGACGCCACTAGTGACTGGCCTCCAACTGATAAAAAAAAGTCATTTTGCTTCATCTGTTGAATTCCAGCATGAAGCATTTGGCATGAAATAAATATATATTTTTTTTTAATTTTATTTTCCACACTGATGTATGGCATGTAGGCTACTATAAAAACTAGCTTTCATATAAAAATACTTAATTACTGCATAGCAGCTTCATGTCTGCCAGGGTCAGTCAGAATGAATGAAACAACATCTTTCTATAGAGTTTTGGCACTGGAAGTATGAAAAAGAGCCCAGAATTCCCATGTGGGGAATCTTATATTTCTGTTAACATGGGTGCTCAATTCCCTCTTGAAAATCAGTAACGAAAATAGTTCTTGCAGTGGGTTATACCAAATTGATTCTGTGTATGTAAAGCACATATGAAATTAAAACTCAAAAGAAAAAAAAAAAAAAAAAAAAAAGTAGTGCTATAGATTGCTTGTGGACACTAAAGAGAAAACTGTGTGGGTGGAAAGCAAAGGAGGAATAAGGAACCAGCAAGCTGGCAACACAAGGGAGGTCCCAGCACATGGGAAATACAGTGGTGGGGAAAGTTTTATTTAAAAAAATAATAATATTTTTTTTTAAAAAAAAAGGAAAACTGAAAATAAACTCCACAACTGCAAGAATATGTTGGGCTGCCAAACTTCTAGTGAAAAGTGGCAACTGAATTCTGTCCTTGCTGAAGAGTTTGGACCAAGTTAGAGAGGAGCCCATCAAATAACTCCAGCGAATGCAAACAGATGTGCTGAGGCAGGAATTAGACATTTTCTAGCCTAGGGAGAGCAGAGCTCTTCTGGCATAGGAAAAGAAAAGCAGGGAAGGGCTTTTGTGTGGGTTCTACTCTGGCCAGCTGTGAGAAGCAGCAGGAGACGCCACCAGGATGTAGCCACCATGACAAGAATCACAGTGCTCAGCTTGTATTGAAAGTTTCTCCAGGAGCCAATTACCAAAAGATTTTCCCCCAGGACCCCATTTAGTGCCTGCTCTGAGTCCACCAGTGGCAGAGGAGAGCTACCAGTCAACGCAGGTCAGACAGCCAAAGCTGTCTCCTTGGAACCCCGCTTGCACTGGTGACAGCCATCACACGCTGACTGGGACTTTGTGTCTTTCTCTCCCCTCTCTTCCCCAGCACCTCATCTCTTCCCTCTTCGCTCCAAGTTACTGCCAGTCACTCCTAGGCAAACATTTTCTTTTCATTTAGAGGATGGATCCTTCTTTTCCCCATTTCTATGATTTTCAGTGTGATAAAATGACACTTCTGACAAGCAAACCTTCCTCTTCCCCCACCTCCCCTTGTTCTGTGGATGTTTTCTTCGCCAATTAATCTAACATAATGTACCATTTAGGTTTGAGAGGCTGGCATGACTCCTGAAGGAGACAGAATGTGCTGCTGGGAACAGAGGGGTGGGG